GCGGAAGGCTTAAATGACATGGTATACAAGGAACGGCCGTCCGTCATAAATCCAATCCATGGGTCGAGATGACATGTTGGAAACAAGCTCTGGAACAAGGCGGTCCTCAATATGGTCCGAAAGGCAATCGAGACAATTACACAGACCAGTCAGTAGTCGGCCTGTTATCTCGAAACACTTGTTCTCATCTAGTTAAGACAGTTTTATCGGAAGATTAAACTGTTTTGAAATTCACGCAAGGGATCTGAGCATGAATTTCTCTCCGCCAGAGACTTCCGTCAACTTCCGCTCCGTTGTCAAGTACTCACTCGCCGTCACCTCCCCCATATCCCCAAGTTCACTGGTTTGTTCCGTGGTCTCCGTGTGCTCGTTGAGAAGAAAAATTTCACTCTTGCCTATTGAAAAGTAATCGATTTATTGATGGAAAATCGATATATTGGAGGTTGACAGTCTGCAGAATGACTAAATACAGGAGAGTGAAGTCTAGAAACAGAGGAGAAAGTATCCAAAGTAAGGGTCTTTATCCCCATTACCTATCGGCGATATCGATAATGCCGAGCCCGCTTTCTCCAATACATTATAAATCGGCTAATAAATCAAAAGTAATCAAAATGACGATATACTAGTAAGCTTGGTAAGCTCAGCGAGTGACGCATGACAAATGAGAGTGGAGAACCCTAAATTAGTGGTTGAACCTGGTACTGGAAGGACTGGTAAGCTAGCTAAGGTAGTGTACCAATTCAACATTGCCGCCCTCACCGGGCTACGGCTGCATAGATGGCTGGATTGAAGTTGGCCATAGGCCAGGTCTTCGATGGAGTCTCCGTTAGCAAGGCCTGCCAATCAACGTAAGTGGCTAATGAGAGGGAAGGAAAGAGGCCGAGACTTCTAGCACAGTCACTCAATCTACGGGGAGGTTGAGATAATGTCAGGACGTGGAGAACGGACAGCCTGGAGGAAGGGAACAGCGGTTGGCATGGTTGGCAGGCCGTGTGACGGTGGAGCTAGAGCAATGGTACGAGGCGCAAAGATCTCTATCTCCTACTCTTGTAGAATACAAAGCTAAAGAGAAGAAGAGAGGGGAGAGGGAGGATAAAGGAGAAGAAGTACTAGCTAAAACGACTAAAATCACTGAAACGCCAGCTGGACGGGTGAAACTAGTCAGGTGATAGCCTACCCCCCATAATGCCAGCCAGCGCCGTCACAGGCCGTATAGATATCCTTAGCCAGCCAAGCCTCATCGCTTCAAGCAATCGAACTCCGAATTAAACTTTTGTGAGCTCGAGCTCGTGAGTAGAGAATGATAAGAGCCCTAGTATTGAAAGTGATGAAACCGCTCTCTGGCAATTGCAAGGCCCACCTATGAATGTCTCGTGAGGTAGTTGTTCGACACCTTAAGCATGAACATTGCTTGATAAGAAATCTCCCATAACATTGGCCTTTCGTTGTCAAGAAAAGCTTTGCTGTCAATCCCCATAGTACCCCGCGCCCGCCTCTCCCACCGACCCATGTCGTGTAAAAGAATGTATCGGGCTTTGTTGGGAATGTCTCCCCTTCGAGAAGACTCGCTAAATCCATAAGCTCATTGGAATTTCGCGTCAAGGAAATCTTTGCTCCCTAGTTATCCTTCAGCATTCTCCCTCTGTAACCGTTTTGATGTTGTATTACCGAGGGCCGGGACGAGAAAAGCTCTCGAGGCGTTTCGCGAGAGCAGGGAGTTTGTTTTGCTTTAGGAGAAGTGTGGTATAAGCAGTGAGTGCATAGAAGGAAGTGCATTAGAAGGAGGAGCTTCTGGGATTGGAAACAAGAGGCAGATGTCCTTGCCCAAGGGTAGATAGATATATCTTGATCGATCGTGGCTGACTCTCTACAGCAACCATCAACATCAACGGAAACGACACAGGGGAGATGCGAATAGAGGTCCAGGGTTAAAAAGCGCTCTTCCTGGAGCCAGCCACGAAACCTAGACCCCGACCTCGTTACTCAAATAATTTACAAGGATAACGAGCACGCGCGTTGTTTCTGCAGAATATCTTCTTTTCCAGCTCTCCCTCCATATCTGCTGTCACCTCTGAACTGCAAACACCGGATGGAAGAGGCAAGAAACCCGGTCCTCCGCTCTCTGTACTCTGATATCAGGAAAACGAACGCCCATGAACCTTACCCACTTCTAGAAAGTGTATAAAACTTCACTCTCCCACATGGTAGAGCTCGGACTGTTTGACAAGAGCCGGAGCCGGTGTTGGAAGTGTATATAGCGATAGGCAATGCAGAAAGATGATATTTAAAGGACTGAGATGATGTCTCGAAGCTACAAAGTGGATCTTGGAGGGAAATAGGACTATTTGTTCTTAAACTATTTAAGTATCTGTCTCCACTCGCTCCAGTCCAGGCATGGACACATACACAAACAAGAGAATGCAATATGTAAAAGAGAGAACCAGGACTTCAGCTTCGACCTCTCACATCTCCTAAAAAGGACACCCGATCATCGAATCCCAGAGGCGATGCAGGAAAATAACGTGTGATCCCCGATACTAATAAACTGATGAACTCAAAGAAGTATAAAGAGGGGCTAGAGAAGAAAGAACCAGTCTTTCCCCACTTCGAGTAAATAAACGTAAGCCAAAGAGAGGAAAACCGTAAAGAAAATGTCTTGGAAGAGAAATAGTCGAAGGACCCAAGCGTCGTGGTTCGGTATTCATGCATACCCCGCTCTAGAGCTAGTCGTCTCGTTTCCTACAGTAGTAGTGCCTCCTTACGGAAAAGACAGGGTGCAAACAATGCAAACAAGGAGTTGGGAGAGTTAGTTGTCTCGGGGAGCCAGAATCTGAGATTGCGGAGCAGCTAGCTTGTTGAAATGGGGAAAAATTGATAGTAGACATCTGGCATATTTCGCCTTTGCTCAGAGTTGCAAAAGAGAGAGGGGGGGGAAAAGGAGGCCCTTTCTCAGATTCGATTTTGATTTTCGAACTCCTAAATGAAAAAGCCCACCAGAGCAAGAGTACTTACTGTAGGTACCCATCTTACTCCCGAGTAAATACTCCTTGCACGCTACCTACCCCCGCCTCCAAAACCCTAAGTCCAGACCCATCGCCGCCCTGGCATTTCCAACACCGACTCAGCCGTGCAAAAAACCAACGTAGAGTATCCCTTCCGCTGCCGAGGAACACGAATACGACCCTCTCCTCTCCCCTCCCCCCCTCACCTAATCCCTATCAACCCTCAATCCTCAATCCCCCACCAAAGCGCCTCCAAGAGAAACCTCATCGGCTCGACGGAGCGGAAACCGGGACACGCTGGATGTAGCAGCGTTTGCGAAGCCCTACAGCATCCGGACCAGCACAGCACACCAGTAATTTACCAGCACCGACAGCAGCAGGAACGCAGCAAAGCCCCATAAAATACACACAAGATCCGACGTTGGACGGACCGAAGGTTAAGGATACAGTGATTCACAAGGTCGCGTTCCCATTGATGTTTAGAGGGGCAAGGGGTGGGAAAAGGAAAGAGGAGAGAAAGGGAGGAAGGGGGTCCCTGGAAACCTTGCGGGGGAGGGCTCTTGGACCATCGATTGAGCCCTGCGGGGTAGGGAAACCCGGGGCGGAGATTTATGGAAGATTTGGGGATTGGGGGGAGAAGAACTCGCGTAGAATTAATGGAGTAGGGAGGAGAGGCGTGGGGGGTGGGGGGGGAAGGGGAAGGGGAAGGGGGGTATTGAAGTGCCGAGTTAGCGGGACGATGACGGTGAGAAGAAAGACGGAAGGAAAGCCTAGACCATGACGAGAAGATGGAGGGAGGTAGGAGCATGCTTGGAGAGAGATTCATTCCATACTGCAAATACGATGTATCAGATGCGCTTCGAGATGAGATGATGGCGACGACGGTGTTGTAGCGGTGAAAGAAGAGGCAAAACGGAATGGATAAATGTGGAATCGCGGCCTGGTCCTTGCCAACGTCTCATTATCGTGCTGCAAGTGCGTCCACTTTGTTGCATTCCGGACGCAATGCAGCGACGATGTCCTGCCATGAAGGAAAAGAAAAGAAAGGAGAAGAAGAAAGGATAGATCTCGTCTCCAGGTTTCTGGGATTTGGAGCTGGGTGGTCTCAGTATCGTGTGACGACTGAAATCTAGACTATGAAACCTCATCTGATAACAATTAAAAGCAAACAAGAGAAGAAGCAAAATCTCGCCTCCAAACCACTGGGAATCTGGGATTTGTTTTGCGCGTCCAAGCTCGGAGAAAAAGAAAAAGAAGCACCGAAAGTCTAGGCTTTGACTTTAGATTGACGTTACGGCTGCTGCAGAGAGAATGAGAATGGAGCAGCGGTATGAAGTGAAAGAAGCACTCGTCGTCCAAGTTTGAACCCTTGCCCCAGACACTGCGGGAAATCGTCTCCATTCCCCAGGATGTTGGTGGTATTCGGACTGAGTGCAGAGACTCGAGTTGGGATCCAACCTGGTGAACCTTCATGCCAGCTTCCTTTCCACGGATGCTAGAGTCGAGACCTCCACGACGTCGTTTCGATCGCATTCTGGGAGCCCAAAGCCGTCTCAAATGTCCCCCGCTTTCGCGGTGGCATTCCACTCCATCCATCACCCTTCTCACCCTCGATTCCCGAGAATCAGCCTGGAGGTTCCTCCTCGTTTGCCTTCTCACTTGCCCTCTGAATTTGATTGAAACTGCGCAAGGCGCGGTATTTCTCCTCGTTTGATCTCCACATCGCAACGCCTTCGCAAAAGATTCAGGAGATATCGCGTCCACGCTGTTGCAACGACGCCCCACCCATTTCGGGTCGGCTCGACATTTGCCCCGCAGCCACAAGTGCTTGATGCTTTCCCGCCAAGACCTTGGCGAGCTCCCCACCTTTCCCCGATTCTCCGTTTGAACATTGAAGCTTCAAACAAAAATAATGCAGGCCTAATCTCGGTCTGTTTACTCGTTTCCATCTACACGGGGCCGTGGAGGCCTTTCGTGAAACTAAAACGAACGTGCTGACGCTCGCACGGTGAACGCGCACCGGGCCGCATCCCAAGTCAGCATCACCCCTCCTTCGCATTTGTCATCCTCACTCAGCATTTGCCGTCTTCGGGGTCCCGGCGCCGGGTTCTGTGAAGGTGCGGTTCCGAGTCTCGGGGTCAGATATTTGCAGGGAGGAAGCCGATATAGGGTACTGTACTTGGTAGCTTTTCCAATCGCGTAGGGGCAGGGACAGGCCAACATCGGTATCGGGCCTATCTTCTCTTTATCGAGTGGCGCAGGCTGGAGGAAGGAGGAGGCGAGGCGTTGTTACTGGCTATGGGCGGGAAAATGCACATGGGTATTTCGCGCTTGGGTTTTGAAAGACGGAGCCGCGCAAATTGGGATGATTTGTGGGTTGGCGAGGAGAAAGTGGGGGATTCAGACTTTGAAGTTGACATGGAAGATACTGTACCGTGAAGTCGACAAGTCAGACTGAGGCAGATAGGGAAGTTTTACTTCTTTCGGAGATTTCCAGAGAGGAGGAGAATTTTTTTGGAGGACGAGTTGGGGGAGAATCGCGTGGCTGAACTGGCTGAGAATCGTGTGTCGTTCCGGATTCGAATCTCGGTCGTCTGCTTCGGGTGCTTTCGCGGCTGCACCCAATTCAGACAGTGCTACATTCATCGGCGGCAAACCCCCGGTAGTCCCAAGTAGGAAATCTGCCAATTGGGAGAGACCCGGACTTTCGCCTGGAAGCTGACATCCTGAGCCCCCGAGCACATCTGTTGCAAGTGATGGCAAGCAGGCATTAAATCGGCGGGAAGTGGGAAGCATGATCTGGCCGTGCTGCTGGGACCTGGGTTTTTCGGGGTCACTGCTGTGCGACGGCTGAAATGGTGACGAATCGGGGGTTTTTTGTCGTTTTGACCAGACGAGAGAGACTTGCGGTGAAGTCTGTTTATTTGGATGAGAAGTTCTTCAACAGCATCTCATACCTCTTCCAAGAGATGGTTACCGTGGGACGGTGAAGCCGCCCGAAGAGCTCCAGGACCATCGAGACAACCCGAATTCGAGATTCAGCACAGGGAAGTGTTGCAGTTTCCACAGCGTCACATTTCTCCCGAGGCAGAGCCAGAGTTCGGGTTGTGCGCCGAGTGCAACTGTGACTTCACGTCTTGACATCGGACATCGGAATTGAAGTGAGCCCACCTGGGACGGACCATGAACGAGGGGCGTCACCGCAGCAATTGGCTTCTTCAGAGTTCGGCCCGGGCTTTCGATGTCTCGAAGAGCGAACCGAAGATTGGGGACGGCTCTGCTTGGCTCGTGTCGCAGGCTCCCGCGCGTCAAAGTTACATGTGGAGGTGAGGATAAACCAAAGGTCGCGATCTCGTTGGTGGAAGTACGATCGTGCTCGTGGACGGAACATTCCAGCTGCGACGAGAGGCGCAAAGGCACACGTCAATGAGTTCATTGTGAGACCGTCTGTTGCACTTCCCTCCTCTCTCGAGCGCCGTGCATTTGCTGCTGTGCGAGGGTGTTGTTGGGTCAATGAGGGGTGGGGTGTCCGGCGGGTTTATCCCAGTGGGATCTGCGCTGGTTTACTTGATGCTTGATGCTTGATGTTGATGCTGGATGCTGGATGCTGGATGTTGGGGGCCGCAACCCCTCCCTCTCTTGGTGGTGGGACGGAGATGCAACCGCGCCATCTGTAATCAGGCTGTTGCACGCGGAATACAGTAAGAAATCAAGTTCTTGCCTTGATCCCACAATACTGTAATGCGGCATTCATATGTGCCATGCGATCGATCACAAACGGAGGCACCCGACCCCTTCAAGACACCGGCAGAACGCAGAAGGGGGAAGTGGTTCCTTCGAACACCTTCCGCTTCTGCGCCGCGCTAGCGCTGGAGGGGGAAAGTGAGGATAAATATTGGATGGTGCATCCCGGCCGAAATGCAGCAATCAGGCCGCGTTCCAGCGACGGCGAGGAAACTGTTTCGCGGGAGTCGGGACAGCGCACCGCACGCTCCCAGTCCCAGCTCTTGCAGCTGTGTGAGACCTGGAAAGGGCCGGACGTCTGACAGCAGCGCATGGAGAACCGCGGGAGTTTTATGGGGCAGAAAAGCTCGCAGGGTGAAGAGTCCCAAGCGAGAGAGAGCAATGCTGGTCGGAGATCATGGGGGGACGAATTGGTGGTCGTAGCTTTCGCCGCCGACAGGGCCGGAGCTCGTTTGCTAGTTGGGGGGGAGGGGGGAGGGGGTCCAGTCTTTTGACCCGGGTCGTGGGTCAGATGGGGTGGATGTTGGATAATGGACACTGGTACGGAGGGCCAGGACCAGGGTAGGGAACAAGGGAAAAGACGATTCGACGAATGCGCTGCGGCGAGAAGGGAGAGTGGATCTTTGGAAGTCTCACGAACCGAAGGAACAGTCGGCTGATTCACTGAGAGCGGGCAGATGTAACTTCGAATAGTGACGAGGAGCAGAAGCAGCAGCAGAAGCAGCAGCAGCAGCAGCACTTTGGCGCGCGCTGGGAGGAGGTTCTGCCACGGGGAGAGTCTTGGGTGTGATTTGAGGCAGCATTGAAGCGTGGGAGGTGGAGGAGACGAGGCGTGCGGCGGTGTGGGGTGTGAGGTGTGAGGTGTGAGGCGTGAGGCGTTAGGCATGGAGTTGGGACGTGGTGGAAGTGAAGAGTGGCGTTGTGCTTGCAGTGTGGTGCCGTCGGTGAAGCGTGTCTTGCAACTTGCAAGCAATGCAAGGAGATTGAATTTCCCCTCCTCCCCTTCCTCCTGCTTCACATCTTGAGGTCTCCCTTGCGTCCCGGCGCATTCTCCCACCCAAGCCGCCCACGCGCACCCTCGTCCCGGCCACGCGAGCCAGTCAACGTTGCTTGGTTGCTGTTCTTGCAGGCGTTGGCGTTTGCCTTGCGCTCTCCCACTTTGCAGTACAGTAAGTAGATTGACTCCGTACTTACTCCACCGCCCAGCATCCAGCCCAACTGCCAAAAAACCCTCCACCTGACCCAGCGATATCGTCGGGCCACAACACAGCATCTTTGTGCCGCTTGTGCATCAGCTCGGTATCCTCACTCCCGGAACGTGGTGCTGGTGCTGCTGGGGCCTTGCTTGTTGATTGCGTTTTTGCCGTGCACCGCCATTCCTTCTGACGCGGTGCAGTTGCAGCAAATTCGGTCCCAGTCCTGGCTGGCCTTGCAGCCGTTTGCTCCGGCTGTCCCCATCCCCGTCCCCATCCCCACGCCCTGCCCTGCCCTGCCCTGCCTGCTCCCTGCTCCCTGCGCTGCACCGGCAGCGAGTTCGCGTTCGATTTCGGTTCGCTTGCGGTGGTGGACACTTTTCTGGGAACTCTTCCCCCGCTGCCACTCCCAGTGCCATGCCATGCCATGCCATGCCACTGCCAGTGCTGGCCCGCGCGCACGCCTCTTCTCTGCCCCCGTCCAATCTTCTCTCGTCCTTCTTCTCTCCCTCATCCCCCTCCCTCCGTCCCTCCTCCCTCCTCCCTCCTCACTCACCCACTCACCCACTCACCCACTCACCCACTCACCCACTCACTTACTCCTCCATCCTCCGTATCGCAGTGCAGCGCACGCATTTCGCCGTTTGTCACTGCTTCGCTGTCAGTGTCGAACGTGTAACAAAATTAATTGTGCGCTCCTCTTCTCTTCTCGCCCCTCACCGCACTACACCGCACCTCACCTCCCGCACTGGCTCGCCTGGACCAGATCGTCGCACCCAACATTCTCCCTCCGCCGCCCGCGTTCCAACGGTGGCCTGTCTCCCACGCCCACGCCCACGCCCTCTCGTTCGCTCGCTCGCTACCGCGGATCCCCAATCAAAAAAAATCCATCAACCCATCCATCCACTCTCCAGCGACCCGAGCAACCCCAGGACCATCCCAGGACCAGAGCACAGGATTCCCAGGCGACACAAATCTCCAGCGCCCTCCGTCTGGAAATCAACCAGCCATCACGCAGCACCGCCCCCATGCGGTCAACGACCTTCTGAGCATTGCACACATCTCAACATCAAACACCCGACACCACATCGATATTGCATCGCTATCTATAATTCCAGCGAGCGATATATATCCCGGAGCAGATCGTTCACCGCAGAGGCTGAACGCTGGGTCGAAGCCTGAAAAAGTTGGATTTGAAAGAAGCAAACACAACATTGGAACTTCATGGAGCGGTAATAACCACGACGAATCATTTTTTCAGTGACTGGATATCATTGCCAATTGTCAGCATCATTACGACCATACGTTACCAGTAATTTTAATATACCATCGCAGCCATGAGTACACCAGCGAACGATGGTCCGGCGGAGAAGAAGGAGAAGGGAGTAAACAAGTTGTTGACGAGGATGAAGACTGTATTGAAGAGAGGTGATGGCTCCAAGAGGTTGTCATTCTCTGGCAGGTCGAAGTCTGTTTCTGGCCCAAGGTATGCACAACAACCACGACTTAGTCTCTACTAACCCCTCCAGCGAACCAATATCTGAACCCGTCATTGCTGAGCCTGCGGTCAAAGTCGCCGAAGAACCAAAGAAAATGATGCGTTCAGAGATTGAAGCAGAGCGGAACAAGAAGCTGGCTGAACGATTCGCCATTACCATCGAGCCACTCTCGACCAAAGCAGACAAGGAGGTACAGCGCATCGAGAAGTCCGTACGAATGCGTATTCATAGGACCTGTCATAAGTGCCAGACGACATATGGAGGAAGCAAGACTTGCGTTGAATGTGGTCATGTAAGATGCACAAAGTGTCCACGATACCCGATCAAGAAGCCAGAGGGCAAGGGCAAGTCGAAGGACGTGGTTGCACCCAAGGGTGATATCATAGAAGCAGAGCCCTGGTTCGGATTGACCAAGGACCCCCCATTGACCATGCCCAACCCCAAGCCAAACGGCCAGCCTCTGGTTCGGAAGGTACCACGGCAGAGAGTCCGTCGAACCTGCTGTAAGTGCGAGAGCCTCTACGTAACAGGCTCAAAGACCTGTGCATCCTGCAGCCACGCCCGCTGCACCGACTGTCCACGAGATCCGTAAGTTCTGTCCTCCCGTTACCCCCTTTTCATATTATTAACACGCTTCAGTGCGAAGAAGAAGAAATTCCCCGACGGCTACCCCGGCGACGTCTACTCGGACGACACCTCCAAGCCGGTGAAGTACGCTTGCCACAGGTGCAGCAAGGTCTTCCCACCCATCCCGCACCCAGACTCGGAAGAAGGGAAGTCAGCTCCTAGTGCAGCGCCACCTGAGTGCGTACGCTGCAAGCATCTAATGTGCGAGTCTTGTCCTCGAGCGGCGCCAGCGAAGGTCGAGCCTGCACCTGACCCTGACGTATTGGCGAGTGTGACGGCGAAGCTTGCTGCGTTGAATGTGTAACATGCAGTCACCTCAAGCTCGGTGACGTTGGGTTGATTGGGACGAGGACTGGCAAAGAGGATGAAAAGGGGTGACGAGCAACAGTCTGGCAGGCAATGATGCGGAGCGAGCATTTACTTTTGTATTTCTGGTGAGAACTGGAATGTGGTTTCCTTGCATTTCTTTCTATCTGATGATGGTGCATTGCATTTGGGCGAGCTGGAGAGCCTACGAGTTCACGAGCCCCACGACTTGTGAGCCTGCGAGTTTACGCGCTTTTCGAGCATCTGAGAAAAGTTCGACCTTGCGAGCACCGGGCTTGGGGGAGGATTGGGGTGGATGGGTGAATGAGGAACGGAGAGGTGGATTGGATAGTCTGCTTTCGAAGGGCTGCTTTGGTGGCATGGAATGGAATGGAATGGAATGGAATGGAATGGATGATGAGACACGAGGAAAAGACCAAAAGACGTGATGAGACGAGATGAGAAAAGAGTAGAGGAATGGAGATAATTCGCCCCTCGGCCCTCTTTTCCTTGATGGCGGCTTTTGGAGCAGACCCGGTCGTGGGACAACTAGGCATGCTCTCGAGTGAGGCACAGACAGCTATCAGTGTTCCCTGCTCCTCTTTCGTTTTTGTCGGCGGCAATGTTCCGTCCCTGTACGGGATATCCTCTCAGTCAGGGGACCGGAAAGAGTTTCGCACTCTTCTCTTTTCTTTTATTGCACTCAAGTCTGACGGGACCTCTTAGTTGGGGTGGAGGTGGAGGTGGAGCATACCTGCCTGCCACTTCCTCACCACCGTCGCCGCCTTCTTCCATCAACATTGTCTGTCCTCCACCTTGTCTCCGAGATTCAATCAACTCCCACACACATACTCTTCTGCAGTCTACTAATAAACACTCCCCTCTTCCCTGTCAGGCCGGAGCAGAGCACAATCGAAGATCCACTCCTCCACCAAAGGTACCTCCACCTCCACCTCTACATCTCGAAATCCAGCCGCGCAGCTGCCACAGAGACATGACATGGCCCCCCTACCCCTGCGGCCACCGCCGTGAATTTGCTACTCATGCTTGAGACATGGATGACACCAGTGCTGAAGAGGACCAGAATGAGCAGGGGCTTGGGGAAGATGAATGGTTGGAGTGGCGCTTTCTGTGTGGTGTTTGTGGAGGATATTCGGGATCCTTGGGAAGTTGGGAGGGAGGGGAAGGAAGGAAGGAGTGTACAGCACCTTACCTCACGCGACAAGCTCAATAAAGTACAGTACCAGCTAAAGTAGGACGTTTAACCAACAGCAGCCTCGGATACAATCAAGCTTCATGGTGTTAGCTCGCGCTGTATAGCGAGTTCTTCCCATCGTTGCCGTTACCGATCCAAGTTTGAGCTAGATGCATGCGATAGTTGGCTTAGCAGCCAGCGGCAAGACCTTCCGGTCCTCCTCCCTCGCTCCGAATCCAGCTGCCAAACCCCGCTACTTAGACTACCAACATACGGTCTAAGCTACCACCATTATCATCATCCTCGCCTCGATGACATCACTTACGAACAGGTGTTACCTGTTACGCCTCACGTCCACAGCCTCGACGAACCGACCAAACCCGAGTAGGATCCCTTCCAGTGCAAGAGCAGAAGCCAGCCAACACCAGGCTTGCAGGAGCAGGCACTCCAGCAACCCTCGAACATCCAATCTCAACCCAGAAATCGATCGATCCAACCCTCCCTCCCTCCAACACAAGCACACTCAACTCTTCATCTGGATCCGATCACGAGCCGACCCAGACTCAATCATCAAACACTGCAATCGCCGAGGAACTCAAGGATGCCCAGCAAGATGCCGAGGGAATCCGACAACGAAGGCTATCCAAACAACAGGAGAAGAAATCGCTGCTCGAAACCTTGTCGGTGCCCAGTGTATGTATTTCGGAGGCAGCGAAGCGATCGATCGATCGTCTGGCTCCGAGCCGATCAGCCTCTAGCTCCTCCTGAAGCTTTCGTTCTTCGACAGGGCCTGGCATCTCTCGCGGAGATGACGAATCTTCGAGAGCGGGCTCGCTGACGCTGATTTGGGATGGGATAGGCTAATGACATCGAGCTCCAGGTCGAGATATGCGGTGTGCTGTCCAGGGGCTATCTGGCCGGTCTCGCGGCGAGGAGCAAGTCGAGTTGCTGCCAGGCTTCCGGCGACAGTTGGACTGACGGTATTGGGACTGCGGTCGCTTCCTCGCGCTTTGTTCTGTTTTGGATCTTTTGTGTACAACCTCTTGGGCGACAAGGTGCGTTTAGCCGCCGGGCTTTGTGAAAACCACTTCGTCCCCGATACTCGCTCAACTAGCTGCAATCTGTACACCTACTTACCTCATCCTCAAGCCCGTTCTGCCTGCAAGCTTTAGTACAACCACCTCAACCTCAAGGTGCATTTTACCAACTGCAACCTGGCAAGTTAGCATACACTGTTCTTCGATTAGATGCGCAATCAAATTCAGCACACCACCCCTTCTTACCTTCTCTTATTTCATTACCACAGTCTTAGCATCAACGCAAGACTCTTGTCTTCTCCACACTCCGGTCTCCTTACTACAATGTCCCATTCCACTCTTATCCCCATTGTTCTCTTCTCAGGTACAGTACAATCAAGCGCGGTATATCCCTTCTTTCTTTCACCTGTTCCTCATCCCTCTTCACTACAACCTTACACCAACATGTTCACAAAAGATCTCTCTAAGCCGAAATAACGCCGATCGCAAGTCGATAAATCGTAACCGTCGCCGGGGAAGCAGAGCGCTAGCTTGCAGATTCCGATGACACCTTCTATCACCATAGGATTAGCCATTGAGGTGAACGATATAGGTAGCTATTATAGTGTCATCGAGAGGACGGGCAACCTGAGTACTGTTTACAGAAGGTTGTCGCACACTCTTAAGATGTTAACGGGGTGGATTCTCCTCAGATATTTGACAGCAGGGGGAGAATGACAGCAAGACAGAAATTGACAATACTTTTCCTATGCGGCTCATATATATAGACATGAATCTTCACATGCAATAAAGGGGGGTGGGGGGAGCAAGTATATGCCCAGGTGTACTCTTTTTCTTTATCGCGGTGCCGTTTTGGCCACGGAGTATTAGTGCCCGCGCAGCAGCTTCTCTTGCATCTCGCGCAAGGAAAGGAAACCCCGCCTCCCTCAACTCGCCCCTTCTTGCTATTATTATACTCGTCTTTCGAACAATTTTTTCGAACAATAAGCTCTATTATGCTCTCTAGACAAAGGATTCTCACTCTTTCCCCAGGCCAACTATCAAAATGCCAATATCGTATTGAGAATCCGGCTTAGGGACTACTACGGGTATACTAAATTCTTTACTGTATGAGCTGAGATATACCTGTTCACGCGTTAATACAGCGTCAACTACGACTTGTGTATTAGCCTCCTAACTAAATCCAGATTAATCCTACATTATACCAAAGTGGGATATATGTCTTTCCTTCTGCACATCGGGATATTAGCAGAGCAGAGCAGAGCAGAGCAGAGCAGAGGTGACCCAACGCACTCCGCTCGTGGTAATCGTCGTTTCATAGGCGATGATGATGATGATAATGATAGTTATTTACGTCCGGGGGAGTAGCCAGAAAGGCAAAGTACTCCTAACCTCCCGAAGGGTATGAGGACGTGCTAAGCTAAGGATTTAAAATAAAGTCCTACTTAATAGAATGGCCAAAACCACAAGGGGAAAACGACATCCTCTATTAAGTAGCCCCGGGTCCCTAATCCCGCGGTGTTACAGTGCCCTTATATACCCCAGAAAGCAATTCAATCCGATAAATCAGCCCTTTGCATCTTCTGGCCTCCGGAAATGCCGTAGCTTGTGACTGTGAACCTCCCTCGCCGGTTAGGGTGGCTACCAGATTCCATATATGCTACCAAAGAGAGGTATCCAGGCCTTTAGAACCAAGCCCCAGGTCGCTCGAACGAAATCTAAAGTCCCCTAGACAGGCTCAATAATAGTATTCTCGACCCTTTCCTTTGGCAGTAAGCGACGTATGCAAAGAGCCCTCGCAAGTCCAAAATTGCCCCCTTAACCTCTACTCTCCCCTCCCTCTCTCCCTTCCCCTTCCCTCCATACAGTATCCCCCTCTCTTATGAACTTAGACATAGAGTCACCCCCTCAGCGTATAATAGCCCCCTCCACCCCTCTAAAACGCATATATCCTCGCCCTTAATCCTCCTTCGTGGCTTCGTGGCCGGTCGGGGTATAAATATCGTCGCAGGTATAGGCAATAGAGACCTAGCTAGGGGAAGGTGCGTATTGTCGTAAGGCAATATGCCGATACAGTCGATTAGGTCGTATTTCGAGTCGTGGTTAAGTTCGCGGTAGGTAAGAGAAATGGCCACGGTGGCTTCTTTGAATTCGAGAGGTTCGCGCAACGTCGATTGCGACTCTGATCATCGTGCAAGCTAAGCTTACAGCAGATCTTTGCTATCTGTATAGAGTAAACTATACAGAGTCCCCGGCAGGCACCACGAGGAGGTGTGAGTTCGGCTTTGCCCGCCGTCGTTTCATAGGCCAAGAACAGACAGAGCAGAAAAGAGAAGTGAATAAAGGGGGAGCGAGGAGGGTCATGACTCTTCTTTGCAAGCATCTGCTATCTTTCTTCCAAGGTGTCCTACAAAGGTAATATTAACTTGAGTTCCTGAGAAAAGGGGACGAGGATTCCTCAGTGTGGGCTCCGATAAGCTCGATAAGCGATAATTAGATAATCGCGCTAATTTGTCAATAATCGATAATTATTGATAATTGACGATAATTATCGTTCTAGGCGGTAAGGGGCCCGGCAGAATCTGCCCCTCCTGCTCTCTGTTCTAATTAATTAATTAATTAATTAATTAATCTTTAACTAGTTCTTTAAAGAATATAACTAATTTGAGATATATTAAAAAAGTAATAATTTGAGTTATTGCTTTATTAATCTAATAGCTAGCTAACTGCTTTGCCTTAGATATAAAGGTTAATTCCCTAATACCTAACCTGGTTACTTTACTAGTAACCCAAATAAACTAACTACCCTATAGTACTACTATAAGACGTTTAATAACCTTACTAATACTCATTATTCCTAATCTCATTTA